AGCAAGAGAACTTTTCAGGATTTGAATTTTACCTGTAGAGGCGCGGAGATCTTCTTGAGCTTGGGTAAGCGTCTGAACCAGTTCACCCGCGTAAACCTCTTTTTGATTAAGTAGCTCTTTCAAACTCCTTATCTCTTCAGTAGCCTTGGAAAGTTGTTTAGCAAAAGAGGATTCCAGTCTACCCTTATCCTTCTCAACTTGACTAGAAGAAGCTTTTAGAACCGCTAACTCAGCGGATACCATTCTCATTTGTTATTCCAAATCTCTTTTCTCCTCTACAAGAACGTCTTTTTCCAATTGAAGACCTTCAAATTTTTCTCTCCAGTTAACAGCCTCGGTATGCAATTCAATTAGTTGTTGGTCAGTCCAAGAGATCCTTTTCATAAGCTCAGTGCCTATCAAATTAATCAACAAAAAAGGCAAAAGAAAAAGAGTCATGAATGAGGAAAAGTAAGGAAGGAAATGTAAGTAAATTTATACCTTAAGAGAAGAATGAACAATGTCATTCATTAAGGTCAAGGAACTGTGACCCTCCAACTTATTCTTCTCTACGGATCCTAACAACGGCTTCAGCCACACATCAATTTGTCCACACTTCCTCAACAAATTTCCACCCTCGGGGACTTCAATTACAATTATTTTCATTTCCCGGCTGCTGCTAGAAGGCTCATCTTCTACATAAGGAGCAGTAGCGGGAGAAAACATTGGGGTAACACCAGGTAAAGACACAAGGGGGTTAACAACAGGTAAAATTGGAAGGGAAACAAGTGGCAGTTCTTNGAGGGGATTAGCTGAATTACCAACATCTTCATCAGAAATTTCTATATGAGCATTCTCTGGCTCATCAATGAGTCTGAAGGGAATCGAACTTGATGGGGGGATCATGAGAGACATGGGTTTCATCAGCTGAAACCACGCGTCTTCTGACACGCGGTTTTCTCACCAAAGAACCTTCTTCTGCATCTCCTTCGTCATCAGACCCACTGGCTTCAACAATCTTTCTCTTGGAGGAAGAAGCACTCAAAATCCGTTCTTGAGCAAGACTTAAAGAAATCCTGGTTGATGGAACAGATGTGGGACTAATGCCACGAATAACAAACTCTAACAAAAAAAGGGATGATGAAAAAACTTATACATGAACAAGTAAAGAAGGAAAGGAAGTGCGAGAATGAAGAGGACCGTGAGTCTTCACTTTCCAAGCAAATTTCTGTGAAAGAAATTTCCAAGATCTTTGTCCATGGGAGCAACAGTCAACATTTTTTCTACCCAAGCACGAAAATCAGGAATTTCTTCAAAGACTTTCATAGTTGCTGAAAAAATGAATATGTGTTTACATAAAGGAACTCAAGATATCAAAGAAAAAAAAAAGACTTACGTGCAAAGTTTCATTTTTCTGGAAAAGACATATTTTTTCACCCATTAATCTACTAGTGGGGGCAGCAACAAAATGGGTGTACCAGCTGATCCACGTCCAATTCGCACTCAATAATGAGTGGAAACGGTCATTGGAGGAATATTACATAATAAGAGTCGGGGTCGATTTCCACAGGGAGTTACTAGGGGTGTTAGGTGTATACACTTGACGAAAGAGAAAGGAATAGCTAAATTGCACTTTCACAAAAGGTTTTGATTTCTAATTCTAATTTTACTCTAGCAATTATAAACTAAGAAAAGAAACTAGAAGCGAATCAGTATTTTTGGTGTTTTTCCAAATAATTAAAAAGCCTAGGGATGTGACCGTAACCTAGGTGCTCGCCTAATGGGTAAAATACGTTAATACTTGTTTTGTTGATTGGGGTGTATAGCTCTCAACTCAACATTACCCGCTCAATACCTCTTGGTCAAAGTGATTTTGCCCAATTTGGCTTTCTTAAGTCCAAATGGGTATCAAACAAAATAGTTGATATGAGGTCAAGTCGGGTTCTCACTATCTCTAGTTTGAACCCTTTAATTAGGCTAATCAAACCCTCAATTAGCCCAATTCCTTATTAGCCAAGTTATCCTAGACTGGGTCCCTCTTTTTCAAGTAGAAACTAAGTCAAAAAGGAATGAATCAATGTTTGCAATCATTAATTCTAAAATTAAAGCATAAACTAAGCTAAATAATCAACACCCAATCATAAACAAGCATTAAATTAAGTACCCATAAGAGTTACACACTAGCGTTGGGTCAAAACCCTAGTAAAAATCTAGCTACTCATAGTGGAATTGAAGAAAATAAAGAAGAAATGCTAATTAAACTCATAATCTAAGATTAAATTGATAAAATATAATGTTTAAATACTAAAATAGTCACAAACTTCCTAAAATGAAAAAATGTAACGGCTACAGCAGCTCAAATTTCAAAACTTGACCTAAAAATGTGAAACTCGTCTATTTATAGTGGCCCAAAATTGCTAACAAAAATGCCCCTCGGGAGGTTCTGCGACCGCACAATTCCATGTGCGATCCGCAGATTTCTTCAGTTGCAAGATCTTGGATTCCACAGCCGCACAATTCTGGATTGCGGCTGCGAAGCATCTTATGCGGCCGCACAATTCTTGTGTGGTCCGCACTTCAACAAGGCTTCAGGACTTGGTCTTTTGCACACTCTCTGAACTTCGAATCATTTGTCAGTGCAGACCCTATTCTGCGGCCGCACAATTCATCTGCGGTCCGCACATTGGCCATATTCCTGTTGGGTTCTTTCACTTGATCTGCGTCCGCGGATGGAATTCTGCGGTCCACACTTTCTTCTGTGGACCGCACTTCTTTAATCTTGCGCCCTTTCTTGCCTTGTGATTAAGAACACTCTTTTTTGAGTCGGAATTCATCATGGAAGACCAAACTTCCAACATTCATGCAATTTGCACACTTTCATTAGTTTTGGGAATATAAATCAATACTTTCGGACTAAAACAAAAGCAAAAAGGTGCTAATAAGTAGCCAAAATGCCCACTTATCACCAGCCACGGTCACGGTCATCCTCGGGGCTAACTAAAACCCTTTTACTTTTAGCCAAGAGGGAAAAGACCCCTTCACGAAACAACTTGGGAGAGTAAAGATGAAGTAAGTGACGAAAGGTAAAAGGAGCGAAAACTAAATCCGACAAATAGCGAAGGCATGCTATTGCCCTCCAAACAATGGGACCAATTTGACCAAGGCAAATATTAAAATAGCGACAAAACTCGATGATCACTGGGTCATTGGGAGGTTTAAACCCTAAAGTAAAGGGGTAGGTATAAACAAAAGAAAAGCCAGCATGGTAAGAAGTGATTCTTTGGTTGGCACCAGGAATTAAAAAGGGAAAATTTGGTTTCCAGTGACATTCTCGACGAACCAAAGAAAGAAGACCAGGAGTGATCAAACTTGGGTTGAGTTCAGCAGGGTTAAGGGAAGCTATAGAAGAAATTTGATTTTTCATGGTTTCACGATCTGATACAAAAGAAAACTCTTGAGGAACAATCTCAGAAACCGTAGGCTCACGCATGGGTTCATTCTGGTCCCTATTTTTAGAGAAAGATCTAGGGGGTCAAAGGAGCTCTAGGTCTAGAAGAAGATGGCCTAGTGGAACTACTTTGAGAAGTAGAATTACGAGTAGATAACGAACCAAGGCTGCGGAGTCTACCACATTTCCTACTCCTAGTAGGGGCAGTAGAAGGAGCAAGCTCATCGACGATCACAACTTTGCGAGGGTCTGGTGTTGAAGAAGACATGTTTAACAAAGAAAATACAGAGGAAAGGTACAAAACTACAAAGGAAGATTAAGATGATGGATACAGAGAAGAAGGAAGAAGGTTTCAAGAAATCAAAGAGGATGAATTATTTATAAGAAGATGCGACTGCCATCAAAATTGATCATTATGAAGTGTCATAATAGAACCGTCACTTCGTGACTGACGCAGTCGCAGCCGCAGAAAAAACCCTAAAAAAGCGTTGAGAAACTGCAGAACCAATCATGTGAAGCCACGTGGCATGTGAATTAAATGAATGTTACATATATCGCATCGATTCTGAAGAGGGCATAATGATACTCGAGAAACGGCAGCAAAGAATTCCCGCCATAAATACTTACCAGTTACCACTTCTTGAATATTCAGAAAGTAGGGGGACTATCTGTATTGGTGAAAAAAAGACATGACGCGTGGACTATCAACAAGGTGACAGGGCATGGTACATGGAACATCGATATAATGACAAGTGGCGTTCTTAATTAGATAAGTTAAAGAATGCGAAAAAGGCACGGGAGAAACACCCACGGGGTTATACTAAGGAAAAAACCACATGACAGCTGTAAAAGGGGAAACATGAACGAAATGAATAAGGCTGTAAAGAAGGAAAGATACACAAACCTGTCATAAATAAGGAAGGAAAATCGGTACGGTTACAAGAAATCTTTAATCATAAATATTTCTGTTACAGTTGTATATGGTAACGGGCAATCAAGGCAATTAATACCATTAGTGAGCCTGAATTAAGTACGGGAATCGTTATAATTGTATGCTCCTATATAAGGACTGAAATCTCATTTGTAATGGCATTAGACATTTATTGAAATTTATGCAATCATTCTTTACTTTATTCTCAAAGTTTTAAACCGTAATTTTGGGAGTGATTACCAATCTATTTCATATTTTCTTTGTCAATTATTTCAATTCCTCGATTTATTCTTCAAATTGTTGAGAAAGTGAAGTAAATCTTGGTTATCAATAACCCAATTTCTTCTAGATATTGACTTTGACTGAGAAATCTATTTTTGGGTTAAACATGGCATAATTTTTTGCTGAGGTGGATGCTAATGTGTTATACACTCGGCGCAATTGAGGAACACACTCGATTAGAGGTGTTTAAAGAATTGGTTTTGATCAAGTGAAAGTGTCTAGATGAAAACTCGTAAAGTATGAGGGCCGGGATGTCAAAACGGTGCAAGTATGAGTATCTACTAAGCTATTGTGCCTTAAATAATTGGTCAACTATTATTTTGCGCCTCTAAACTGTAGTTTTTATTCATTTAGTACAAGTGACGAAAAAATAATGCATTTCATAAGAAAGAATCACGAAATCCGGGGTCTTACATCTTTGTAATCTTCTCTTAACTTTAGCCGGACAGTTTTACTACAATTTCATGGAATTTTTCTAGCCAATATGCTTTCCTGCAATCAACTCATTCGACAAAATTTTCTTCAGTCTACCCTTTCAATTTTCTCAGGAAACAAACAATAGGTTAATCAAGTTTTATGCTTAACTAGTTATATCAAGGACAAATTGTTTAATGGGAAAGGGTAAAAAATACCCTTAGACTATACGAAATTCTCTCAAAGAAGCTGCCTTTAATCTTTAATTAGGCTTCCTCTAGACACTTGGAGCATCGACATCTAAAACCATAGTCTGCGAGTAATGCCTGTCTCTCTTCAAAAGGAAGGTCCTCGTCTATATATGAAATAGTTATCTGCATATATCAACACCTTTTGATAGTTAGAATTCTCTTCCCTTGTCCTGCGGACTGCGGAGTTTATAAAGAAGTGCATCCACAATTAAATTCTCCAAAGCATAAGAGATTTGTAACTATAAAAACAAGTTAAAGCTACCTCTTCTCCTTTGGCAATTGGTTGAAGAGCAATTATAGTTGCTTGGCCATCCCGATCCTAATAATGCAATATCAAACATTTTCACAATCGTCTTATAAATATGTTTCCCGATATGTGCAGAATATGTTATTGAGCAAGATCAACTGCAAAGGGTTAAGTAACTTGAAGCCTATTTAAGCATAGCTTATAAAGATCCAGCCAGATTTTGACTAAATAGAAGAGAAATTAAAGGTATTTTCAAAGTACTGTATCCAAGAATAACTTTCCACCCTCTGCTATTTACTTCGATATGTGTTCAGAAAATGATTTGTCCATAAATTTTCTACTTTCAAGAATGTCGGAAACAACACTGAAACAGGGGCAACAGGCCCCAACCAAGTTGCAAACGCAATGCCTGCTTGCAGAAAATTAAATTCACTAACAATTTCTCTGCTTCATAGGTTTCATTTTTTGCCTGTAATCAAGTCTTCTTTTGTACGTCTAGTTCTTTCTTCCTATTTGAAGAGGTTATTCCATTGAGAGAAAAGAAAAAGAAAGTCAGAATTTGCAGATATCAGAACATACCTCTTCTCGCTTAAAAGCTTTTGCATTAGGTCTGCACGAATGGTTCATACAGCTTTGCAAGGGGAAAAATGCAGTACCTTTTATCAAAGATTGCTTGTGGTTATGATTCAGAGAAGTACACAAAAACTAGGTAGAACCAAACTAGAAAAGTAAAGAGTAGGCATGGTGAGCAAAATAATTGACACAATTAGACGCATAACTTTGAAAAAAGATTCCCTGCAGCAGGTTACATACTTTCCAACAAATAATTATTCTAAATAAAGCAACTAACATGTATAAACACTTCCAAATTAATAAATAGAGAAAATCGGGTTTCATATTCTTTATCATATTGCAGAAGGAGCAAGGAAGCGCCATTGTACTAATCATGCCTTGTCAACTTCTGTATCAATTGAAATGCTGGCAGCAAAAGTCTACCCCTTCTCCCGGACGAACTTCTAAGATTGCCTAGGGCATACAAACGATATTTGTATCTTGCAGAATTCAAAAGCAATGCACAACTCAACAACCAATGCAGCTCAGAGAAAATGCACCCTATCAGCTAAGAGATTGCCACAAAATGCAAGAGCCAGACACAGTTCCAAAACATGATGTCTCCTTTCTAAATAGAACTCAGATATTTAAGCTTGTGTAATCACAGTTATCTGTAATTGTACATTATCTCCAGTCTCCACCCCTGGCACCATATATTTATTTCCAACTACAACTTTGTCCTTTCTAGATATTAACGATGGACGATATTTTTATATATCAAAAAGAAAAAAAAAGTATGGAAGATATCCAGGGGCAGGTTTGTGTTCAAATATGGACCTAAAATGACAGTTCCTATGCCCAGATATTAAAAGAAAAAAGAAAAAAAGAAAAAAACTCTATATCTACTTTCTATGTCACACATCATAGTTTACCTTGACAACAAATCGAATAGTCATCACCAAGAGCATCCAGGATAGGCTTTGTAGTTTGCTCAGCCTCTTCCTGCCAAATTATCGTAAAAGTAATGCTGTCAAATTTCTGCATGGTACTAAGTTTCACAAGCACATAAAAAAATTGGTTCTAACCTTTCCAGGGAGAGGAAGATCATCAATGTAGAGAAAGTAATCCTCCACTGGTGACTCTACCACCAGGTCACTATTAACAAGCAAAGGCTTTAACAAGTAAGTTCACAACAATTTATAAAAGAACAAACTTTAAACGGAATAAAAAAAGTATAAAAACGCAGAGCATTCCAAAGGGCATGTAGAAGTCAAAAATCATATCTGCAAGCTCATCATCCGTCTATTTACGCTATTCCAAATTAATGTCCACTTTTTGAGAAGGAGCAAACTATATAAACCAAACATTATCTGGAGATGGCTTGTATGCTTTTAATTATTCTAGCCCTACTAATTTCAAAGAATACATTAAAAAACAAAAACTCTCCTGCCATAGTAATAAACTTGGCAACTCAAATTAGGACATTCATTTTGGAAGAGGTAAAATATTATTTTGTATGCTTCCGAGTTGCAGAAAAGTGAAACAATCATCAGGTTTATTGCATGCATGCTGAAAATAACATGAAGGTGGTAGTTTGATGGATCATGAACTTACAGGTTATTCAGCTCAAACATGCCAATAATATGACCATACATTTCAAGGGAGAGTACTGGTAAGAGTCAAGGATTCCATATTGAACCACATAAGTATCGAGAACAACGCTGCAGATAAGAGGAGCAGTCAACTGATTGAAAAGTAATCAGGATACATGGCTTGCATTCCTCGTCAAAGATAGCTGCTTTGAGGAGCTGCAGAGACTGGATAATACAAACTGATAAATCAAATTTCAGTATAGAAAGCAAAGAGCAAGACCAATGAAATGCCGATATAATAGAAAAAAAAATATACAGGTACTAAGGTTCATATATAACGCAGTAACAGAGCACAAAAGTTTAACTTCTAAGCAGGACTTATACAACATAGCCTTTTCTTCCAATTAACTTGCTACATTAAGACCATAGTGATATTACATCCTTGAAAAGCAATTGAACAATAATTCTGTCAAAACTGGCACTCAGATTAGGCGATACACAGTTTACTCCAGGCAACATCTGAACAATCTTGATTCTTAGGAGAAAACTGATGATGCATGAGATAATCAGAATGAAAATTCATTGATGCAATTTTAGCTTATGATTGCTCTCTCTGTATCTTGCACATTTATTTAGAATGAGGTTTGTAGCACGCAGCTTTCACATCAATTACTGTAGGAATAGTAGGCTCCATTATCTTACAGAACAAAAAACCAGTCTATTCTTCACATCTAGATAAAATTAAGGAAGAAGGTTTTTCCTGCTCGAACTGATCCCTGAAGGCCAAAGATGGAAGAGACCTTATAAAGAGGAGAGCTGCAACACATACATCTATTTCAGCCAAAATAGAAGAAAGCAGGCCCTTTTTTGGTCTACTATAAGAGTTCACTTGCCACCCCAAGAAGGGCAGTATAACAATTTTTACTGATGATCGATGACAGGTAGCAATACTACTCCTACGAGGCTGAAGCTGACAAATTAGAGATACTTCAGCACATTACTGGCAGATCGAAGTGACGGTTAAAAACGGAAGCAGGTTGCTGTCAGAATTTACCAAGGAAGATTACCGTGAACGCCAGCTCTTTTATTTGCATTCTAAATGATGCTTCATCAGAACCATCAACATCGCCTGGCAAAGCAATGCAATCCCACCACCTACAAAAAAAGTCACTTTACACTGAGCAACTTGACAAGTAGGATAATCATGCATCAGCCTGGCACAGAACCCCGATATTCCTCATAGAAGAATTATACTATTTCAAAAAGTTAAACAAAACTTTTCAGTTTTAGAAAGTTGTGGCGCTCTGAGCCTTATTATAATAATATTCACAAAAAATGTGTCACCCTTATACATTTTAGCATTTCAAAAGACAAAAATAAACGTGTCACCCTTATAACACAGTTACACCACAAAATTTCAAGTTATTCATCATAGGCAAAAATGCAGGAGCCTTAAAAGACAAGTAATTTTAACTTGGAGCTTATAGGCTATTGTTGTTATTATCCTTATGAAGCACTGCAACATTTTAGGAAGGGCTTCTACGTTGATTCATGTCGGGGCCAATTTTGGTTTTTTGAGAAGGTAAATTTTATATATATGTATCAGCATCAAGTGTCTATACTGGCATACACTTGATGCTGATACAACAACAACCTAGTGAAATCCCACAAGTGGGGTCTGGGGAGGGTAGTGAGTACGCAGACCTAGACCCCACTTGTGGGATTTCACTGGGTTGTTGCTGCTGTTTTTGCTGTTGTATCAGCACCAAGTGTATGCCAGTATAGGCATCTGTAATTGCCCTAATTTATAGAAGGGAAACCAAGGGAAAAAGCCCATCAAGGGTCTAATATTAGCAAACCGTAGAAGTTCTTGAAAAAGACGACTAAAAGAGCCAATGGTTTCATTACCAAATATGATTAATCCCTCAGAGACTTGACCAAATTTTGAGCTATATCAAATTTGCAATATTTTACCTACTTCAATGTTACCATCAACGGTGAGAATAGTATTCTTCACCACTTTGTTGCAACAGGAGACTATGAGTCAATCTTTTAGCAAAGGTGGTCCATAAAGTGGATTGATATAGCTGCAAGTTCTGCAGTCATGCTAGCCGTCATCATGCAGGATGTAATTCAGGGAAGACAAATAAGATATTAATATTTGGACTACAATTCGCACTTTCATTACGACCGCATAGGTTTTGCATCAAAGGGGTCAAGCTTCATTTTATAGCAACTTGTGAAGAGTGACAAAAAGATTTAAGTACCTTCTCTTGTATCCCATGGACACTGGCTTCCATGCCTCCAGCAGTAAAGAAAAATCCCTGCTTTCTGAAATAACCTGCTTCCCTTTTCCCTCATGACGACTTTCTTTCAACTTCCTATGTCTCAAGATGGTGAAAGAAATCACCTATAACACAAGAACGTGTTTGCAAAACACTTGCTTAAGCAGGTTTCCAGCACGTAGTAAGACATACAAACACAGAGATCTATGCCTTCACATATGCACCTCAGTTTCCCAAGGAGAATTACAACATGAAAAATTAACAAGAGGAAAAATGCAAGACATAAGAAAGACTGGAAATGATCTATTCTTCTAAAACGCTTTGCAGATTGACAGGAAAAGGAAACAAGAAAAGGAAAGGACTTACCTTTGCTGCAAGAAGGAAAATGTCGTTTGTATCTGGCAGAAGAAACGAGAAAAGGAAACAGCTTGAACAACAAGATATACGGGTAGGCAGGTTATAAACTAGACCACATAACAGGTAGCAGCCACATTAGAGCCTTACCATTAGCATGTTCCATAAATTTCAGAAGCGCTTTTGTGCTTAATGACTTTGACCCCTCCCCTGTACATAGCAAAGAATGAAAAGACTCCCAATCAGCCTCAGAGCATGATTTGCTGCGAAAATGAAGAAAAAAAGGTTAGCACACTATTCAATCAGTGACGGTCAAGTAAATTAATAACAGAGTCATTAGTGGTACTATGAGAAGCAAAAACATGAAGAAACAAGTTCATCTCACAGAAGAGGTTTTCAATACCTAAAGCTATCTAACATTTTGAATAGCATATGGTTACAACCAGAGACAATGTAGCACCAAGGTGTTCATCTGTTTTATCATTTAGTGTTACAGTTCAATATTCCAATTTTAGCGGCTGAGGCAGACACCTGAGAAAACCCTGCAACAATGATTCTCATATAGCAACATGCAAGTTGTTCCTATCAGAGCAGCATTTGTGCCGAAGATCTATAATACTGTTACCTATTTCAAAAAAAAAAGCAAGTTGTTCCTCAATGTAGCCGATGAAAAGGAAACACAATGAAGAGAGAAAAAACCTTCAATTGACACAAGATGGCAGCATTATGATGTTGAAAAGATCCTCTTCAACAAGACAAAAAAATGTGTCGAGAACTTTTTATGCCATGTCATGCAGCGCCATTGGCATATTACAGTTAGTTTTGACTGAATATATATATATATATATATATATTGTCTTCTGAGAATGTGATTTCAAATTTCAATAGAAAATGAAATTTTGATGCTTTGCAGTATTCAATGAAATTTTTATGCAAATTATGGAAAAATAGCTGAATGTCTACCTGCAATAGTAGTTCTCTTTACATCCACCAGGACAAGAAAAAATTGGAGGCAATGGGAACTTCTCAGAATATGGTAGTTGCATCTCACCATTAAACAATGACTCGACCACATCCTTAGGGAGAGGAATTTTATCTTTTGAAGGGCTAGAAGCACATTCTCCAGAAACTTGCTGATCTTCTACATCAGAATCATCTTCACCAACAGATGAACCAGAGTTATAACAATCTTTTTGCATGTGAGACTCCCTGCTTGGGGAGACACCCAGCTGTTCTAAATAAAGCTTCCTCCCGATTTGAAGTTCTATTGACCCAATAAAGCAGAAGCAATAACTACATACCAAACAGTCTACCTGCCACGTGCAAAAGATCAAGGTGAAGCTTGTCAACCAAAAGGGGAGTGAAAAAAATACATAAGTTGGATGATTACTGTGAGCAAGAACATGTGTATTGCTAGTTCAATCAGCAATACCTTATTTGAAGAATGTTGGGCGCCAGCAAGTATTTGATCCTTCAAAACAAGGTCCGACTCTTTGAAGTCTGTCTCAGCATAAACCCCTGCGGTGCCACTAGTCTCAATATAGTGCTCATTAATAATAAAACTCACAAAAGAACTGAACTTTAGTAACCACCAAATCATGTTACTAGCAGATGACAAACCAAATATTAGTAAGCAAACTCACATTTTGAAATTCCCTATCAAGTGGTTAACTTTAGTTGTATATCAAACATTAGACAATCAATCAATCAAATACACCTCAATACAAAACTAGTTTGCGTGGCTATATGAACCCCCTATATCCATTCTGCTCTATTCGTTCCCATGGGCAAACAACCATACAACAACTATGCCTCAGTCCCAAACAAGTTGGGCTCGGCTATATGAATCCTCATTGACCATGTTTCTGTTGGAATATTAGATAAAGGCTAAAGTGTTTGGGCCATTCTTGTAACTTAGATAAAGAATCCATTTGTCTGTGTTAGTTGGGCCACCGGGTCAGGCCCACTATACTATTTATAAGTGGCATCCCTATTCTTTGTAATAAGACAAATAGATAAAACATTTTCCATCAGATATAGAGAGAGGTCGGTTCTCTCGAACCTTCTCAAACAATATGAACCCTACTTTACATTTTTCCAATCTCCCTGTAAACTTCAATACTTAACATGGTATCAGAGCGTAGATTCTGGTAGATCGTATCATTAGCTTCCGATCTATGTTAGCCTCTTCAGTTTTCATCAACTTTTTCGTTTGGACTGCATTCGCACTGGATTAGGGTTTTGCTTGGTTTCGTTGGATGATTTCTTCTCATTGTCGTCCGTTTCTACTGGATTTTACTATTTCTCTGGATATTTGATTGTACCTGGTTGATTTGTTCATTTGATTCGAGCTAGGGTTTTCTCGTCGGTGTTTAGCTGAGCCGCCGGAAGTTTGTTCATATAATTCCTTGAGGGGAGCCGAGATTTTAAATATGTGGGCCTTCATCGCCTTAAGTCCGGTAGGTCAATTAAGTTGCCTAAATCTCTTCCTAGTAGCTTGCGGGCCGGTCGTCATTGCACACGTGAAACTCTTTCATTTCATAGAAGTGAATTTCTTCTCATTGTCGTCCGTTTTTACTGGATTTTACTATTTCTCTGGATATTTGACTGTACCTGGTTGATTTGTTCATTTGATTCGAGTTAGGGTTTTTTCGTCGGTGTTTAGCTGAGCCGCTGGAAGTTTGTTCACAAGGCTGTTCTCTTTTCGGTTGCAAAAGAAGGGGGTAAACCAGTTCTCTCTTCATATTTCATAAACTTGTGTGTTGAATCGTTGTTTGTCTCTTGTTGATATACTTCCTCTAAATGACGAATGATAATCCTGTAATTACACCTTCTTCTTCATCTACTGCATCTCGTGCCGTGTTTCACGAAGATGATTTTACACATCCATGACATCCATTATATGTACACCCATCAGATGTGCTGGGAACTTCTTTGGTCTCTAGCCCATTTGATGGAAGCTGTTATGGCAGCTGGAGAAGAAACATCTTAGTTGCTCTCTCCATTCGTAATAAACTTGATTTTATCAGTGGCACCCATACAAAGCCACTTCCAGGATCTCCTCTGGCACGTCAGTGGCAACGGTGTAATGACCTTGTGGTGCCCTGGTTGGTTAAATCCTTGTCAAAAGAAATATCTCGTAGCGTAGAATACTCTGAATATGCTAAAGATATTTGGTGTGAATTGGAGGAGAGATATGGTAAGGCTGATGGGGCCAGAGTTTTTGAGCTAAAGAAAGAATTAGCACATATCTCTCAAGGGTCTTTAGACATAGCTTCTTATTTTAATAAAATCAAACAACTCTGGAATGAAATAGCTTTTTATAAGGTCAGAGTTTGTACTTGTGGGGGTAAGGCTGCTGAGGATGAAGAGCAGAAGGTTTATCAGTTCCTTATGGATCTGAACGATACCTACATGCAAACTCGCAGCAACATTTTAATGATGAAATCACTTCCATCTGTTGGAAATGTGTAAAGCATCTTATTGTCTGATGAGAAGCAGAGGCAGGTGTCTTCTGCCTCCCAATTCTCCACACAGTCTGCTTCATTCAATGTTGGAACTTCTAAGCCATCATTTCCTTCCAAGGTTTCTTTTGAGGCTCCCAGGTCTTCTCACATCTGCAAATATTGCAAGAAATCTGGGCATTCTATAGATAAATGCTATAAATTGCATGGATATCCTCCCAATTTCAAGTTCAACAAAGGACCTCCCCCTCGCAGAACTGCTGCGCATGTTGAGCTTGAATCCTCTGGTGGTTCTTATGTGCCTGGTGGTTCTGATGGCCCTGTTGAGAATGGGGAGCCTTCTGTAATACCTGGCCTTACCAAGGATCAATACTCTCAGCTGATGATCTTATTACAACAATCCCAAATCTCTGCTTCCCCACACTCTCCACATCTCTTGGCTTCTGCTAACTTTGGTGGTAAGCTTATGCCTTATGAGGGTATTTCTTATGGAGCTTGTATGTTGTCTAGTGTGAATGGCATTGTTTGGATAATAGATTCTGGAGCTACTGATGATATGACTTCAATCAGGAGTTTACTTTTTGATATAATCACTCTTCCTATTCCTTATCTTGTGTCTCTTCCAAATGGATATAAAGTAAAGGTTACCAATGTTGGTTCTTTAGCTTTATTTCCTGACTTAATCCTCCATAATGTTCTTTACATCCCTAGTTTTAAACATAATCTCATATCTGTCCACAAGCTTTTGTCTCATTGTGATGATGTTGTACAGTTTACCAAGTCTACTTGCACTTTCCAGGGCCCTTCAGTGAGGAAGCCAGTGGTATTTGATAGACTGGACAATGGACTTTACAAGCTGTTCCAACATGTCACCTCCCCTGTTGAATCTGTTAATGTCAAATCTTGTTCTTCTGTTGATTGTTCTCTACCTGTAGTGTCTAATAATGCTGCTATTGACATTTCATCTGTAAATACCATGGGTGACTCAAATAAAATCAATAAATCTGATGTTGTTTGGCATTATAGACTTGGGCATATTCCTTTTTCCAAAATGAAAATTATTTTTGGTCTTTATTGTGGACTATCCTCCAAGCAGTCTTTCATATGTCCCATTTGCCCCTTAGCAAGACAAACTAGGCTCCCTTTTCCTGATTGCTCCGTTCAGTTCACTCATCCTTTTCAGCTTATACATATAGATACTTGGGGTCCCTACTCCACTCCCACTCATTCTGGTTCTAAATATTTTCTTACTATAGTAGATGACTATACTAGAGCTACCTGGACACATTTGATGGGAGCAAAGAGCAATGTTTTTGATTTGTTAAAAGCTTTCATCTTTACGGTTGAAACACACTTTAACACTAAAATTCAGACTGTGAGAAGTGACAATGCTTTAGAGTTAGGCTCCAGTTCTTCTGGTTCTCTTTTCTTTTCTGAAAAAGGGATCATTCACCAAACTTCTTGCCCTCATACTCCTCAACAAAATGGTGTAGTTGAACGGAAACATAGGCATTTGTTAGAGACTGCCAGGGCTCTTTTATTTCAATCTCACCTTCCTATTAAATTCTGGGGTGACTGTCTTCTTACTGCTACTTACCTAATAAACAGATTTCCTTCACCTCTTCTCAAACATAAGAGTCCTTATGAGTTACTATTTGGCAAGGCCCCTTTATACTCTCATCTCAGGTCCTTTGGCTGCCTTTGCTACTCAACTGTGCCCAAACCCCATAGAGACAAGTTCCATCCTAGGTCTGTTCCATGTTGTGTTCATTGGCTACCCTTTTGCCAAAAAGGTTTCCTTGATTTCATTTTCTCTCCTTCCTCTGGCTCATCTTCCCCTTCTGTCCTTCCTTCATTTCCTCCTCAAATTAGAAGATCTAGTAGGCCTCATATTGTTCCTGCTTATCTTCAGGATTATGTATGTCCTACCCTTCCTATTTTTGCATCTGTCCTTGTTCCTTCTAGTTCTGAGTCTATTTCCTTTAATGCAACCACTACACAGCTCCACATCCCTGAGCCTTACACTTACTCTCAGGCTGCTGCTATCCCTGAGTGGCAGGATGCTATGAGAAAGGAGTTTGAGGCTTTGGAAGCTAATAGAACTTGGGATATTGTTGAGCTACCCTCTGGTAAAAAGCCTATAGGCTGCAAATGGGTATACAAAGTAAAATATAGAGCTGATGGGAGTCTGGAAAGGTTTAAGGCCAGATTGGTGGTTAGGGGTGATACTCAGGTTGAGGGGGTTGATTTTCATGAAACTTTTTCTCCTGTTGTTAAAATGTCCACTGTGAAATCCTTAATTGTTGTTGCTGTCAAGCAACACTGGCCTATTTTTCAACTTGATGCTAATAATGCATTCTTACATGGGGATCTTGATGAGGAGGTTTTTATGAAGGTACCTCCTGGTTTATCTGTTCTTTCTTCTTGTTCTTGTTCTTCTCCTTTGGTTTGCAAGCTACTTAAGTCCCTCTATGGTTTGAGACAGGCTTCCAGACAATGGTACGCTAAATTGTCTCAAGCCCTTTGTTCTAGAGGATATTCTCATTCTTTAAATGATTACTCCTATTTACTAGGGGTTCTGGGGCTTCTTTGGTCATTTTAGCAGTGTATGTGGATGATATCATCCTTACTGGGACTGATTTGTCTGAGATTTCTTCCTTAAAAGGCTTTCTGCATGAACAGTTCAGAATTAAGGACCTTGGTTATCTTAATTATTTTTTGGGGATTGAGGTTCTCTATTGTGATTCTGGGGTTCTTCTTCATTAAAAGAAGTTTGTTCATGACTTATTGGATTCTTTTACTTCTTCTGCTTCTTCTGCTGTTGTTTGTCCTCTTGCTATTAATGAGAAATTGAAGGCTTCTGTTGGTGAGCCTTTACCCAAACCTGAAGAGTATAGGTGCTTGGTGGGTAAGTTGAACTTCTTGACCCATACAAGGCCTGATATTAGCTTTGCAGTTCAGCATCTCAGCCAGTTCATGCAGACTCCCTGTGTTCCCCATATGCAGGATGCTTTACACTTGTTGAGGTATTTGAAGGGCACTTCTGATTTTGGACTTTTCTTCAGTCATTCACCTAATCTTTCCTTGACAGTGTATTGTGATAGTGATTGGGCTTCTTGTGCTGATAGTAGAAGATCTGTGACTGGTTTCTGTGTTTTCCTTGGTGATTGTTTGGTGAACTGGAAATCCAAGAAGCAGCCTGTGGTTTCTCTTTCTTATGCTGAAGCTGAGTACAGGGCCATGAGTAAAGCTGCAGCTGAGGTCACTTGGCTTTCCAGGTTGTTGTCTGATTTTGGCCTTCCTTCTTCTTCCCCCATTCCTTTATTTTGTGACGACCAGGCAGCCTTGCACATTGCCCGCAATCCAGTATTTCATGAGCGGACTAAACATATAGAGCTGGACTGTCATTTTGACAGAGACAAAATTGGTGATGGGCTGATTCGCTTGGATCATGTTCCATGCTCAAGTTGCTGATATTCTTACTAAGGCCCTTCCTGGACCTGCTCATCATTTTCATCTTCGCAAGTTGGGTCACCTTCAAACTTGAGGGGGGCTGTTGGAATATTAGATAAAGGCTAAAGTGTTTGGGCCATTCTTGTAACTTAGATAAAGAATCCATTTGTCTGTGTTAGTTGGGCCACCGGGTCAGGCCCACTATACTATTTATAAGTGGCATCCCTATTCTTTGTAATAAGACAGATAGATAAAACATTTTCAATCAGATATAGAGAGAGGTCGGTTCTCTCGAACCTTCTCAAACAATATGAACCCTACTTTACATTTTTCCAATCTCCCTGTAAACTTCAATACTTAACAGTTTCCTGATTTAATTTCATCTCATGCCAACATTGTACAAAATAAAAATAAAAATGAAAAGTACTAGAAGTTCTCTATATTTCCTACTAGGATAAGAACACACATAAAAGATAAAACAGGTGTCTCAACACTAAATGCAACTTTTTTATCCAGTCTTTCTGTTGATAAAACTGATGCAGCGGTAATCTAAGAAAAGGAAAAAGAATTACCCTTCCCGTGATATGCAGTAGGTTTAACTTTGAGGCGGCGGCATTGTCTAGTGGCTAATAGCTCTTCAAAATACTTCTGTGAACATTTATCAAACAGTTAACAGACTAAAACACACTTGAACTGAACATTTACTCCAAAAGAAAGTGAAAAAGGAAACGAGAGTTGATGCCTGGACTTCATGACGAGGAGGAGGCTTGAGAAGTGCGGCAATTTGGTCGGAGAACTGCTTATCGATTGAGCATATTATTTCCATTGATTGGACTCTTGGCAGAGAACTGTGGAATTTGTAGAAAAACCAGCGTCTTAGTTTTAGCTGCTGCTATGCTATGGCGGCGTCTCAGCCGTTTCCTCTTTAAACTGTACACTCGTTTTTCCCACTAAAATCGAGTAGACTTCCTCTAAATTAACATTTTTTTTTTGTCTCGTCGGGACTATTTTACCGGATACCCTACCCCTATACTAGACACACGGCCGTGCATAATTTGTTAAATATACAATACAAATCGAAAATTTTGGTATTCGGTATGCTATTTGGTTTATATTTTTAAAAAATATGATACTATTAGATATGGTATTTAGTATTTTGAAATAAAATATCGAAATACTGATACCGTACCGAAATATATATTATATTACACAAAACATGTATTATTAATTATAACATAAAAAATTTAATTTCTTTTATTTTCTAAGTTCATCAAAAAACTCTGAGCAAGTAAGAAGACATTTCTAATGATCAAATTTATATAGTTTTCTCTCACTAGGTTGATATTTGCTGGTTTTGGACAAAACTTTTGTCAACAAACGTTTTTAATTAAGAATATTATAGTCTATGACTTTATGCATTTGTTAGTATTCAAACTGAAAAAACTGAAGTTACCGAACCGAATAAACCGAAATCTGTCACGCCCCGAACCTCGGGGCGAGACCGGCACCCGGTACATTACTCAACCGAGTACTAACGTAACGTATCTTTCTTATCATCATCATATACACGTGACATGAAAACCTAATAGGCCGACAAGTCCGTACAATCTTTCACGTACACGACATATGTCTACAAGCCTCTAAAAGTACATAAATGTCATAAAGGTCAGGACAGGGCCCCGCCATACTAATCAGTACATGTCCTAATCATACTAACCACATAAGCAACTCCGGAAAAAATAGAGCGCACCAACACCTTCCGCTGAGCTGATAGCCTACTTGGAGGACTCTCAACCTGTCTATCAGGACCTGCGGGCATGAAACACAGTATCCCCATGCAAAAGGGACATCAGAACGAATAATGTACCGAGTATGTAAGGCACATAACAAACATGAAAGAATTATAGAGTAAATGACTCAACCTGTAAGTCTGGATAACTCTGTAAATCATGAAATAATTATAGTGTCATGCATATGTGTATGAATGTCATATCGTGCATAGGTACATGTTTCATAATATCATCAGGCCTCTGAGGGCATCCCATCATATCATCTCGGCCACTGTGGGTAAAATTATCAACGTATACCAGCTGATCAGGTGGTGGTGCGTATATAACGTCATTACCTTTTTCCATATCCCATATACATATAATATACGCGTATATAACGTCATTTGGTCATGGGTCAATGTACATGTATAAATGCATGAAATGCATATGAAATACGTTAATAAGAATTCTCGGAATGTCATAAAAATAATATGCTTGTCGGATAAACTTTATCAAAATCGTATTTTTCTAAGACCCATGAACAAAAGCTATAATAATAATTAAGAGATAATAATATTTTTTTTTCATACGGGAAAACCATTGTGTTAGTGTTGTTAAGCCTTGCTGCTCAAATATTTCAATGATAGAATCAATAACAGAATATAAGCGGAGCAAGACGATAGATGATGGTACATTCAACCTTTTCTCTACAGCTTTAAAGGCTTTTACAATCATGTACACTTGCATATAGTCTAGCTTACTGGACTCTTTCCATTTAAGTGACTAATTACTAATTCACATGGGGAATTAAGAATATAAACACCCCTAGTATTTCTATAAATAGAGTCATCTATGGAAGTTGTGTATTTGCTCGTTTCGCTTGTGTCATATAGATCATGCCAAAAAGAAAGAAGGGATAGCCTTAACATACCTGGAGTAGGTAAATATTTGTATGATATTCTTGAAAAAGGTTACACCATGCACCGTACTCTCTTAGAATCACAAAATCCCACGTTGTTATTGTGCTAAGAAATCTTATTATTTGGAGAAATCACGTTGTAGCGTTAGAAGTGAAGAAATCATGTCTGGTTGTAGTGCTTTTTGTAGGAATTTCTAGGAAATTAATAAGAAATCACGTTGGCTAAGGTTCAAAGGTTCACGTCTGTTTGTGTTATTGTGAAAGTCATAAGTGTTGTGTTGAAAGTCTTAGATTTGAAGATGTTAGAGATGATTAATCAACAATGACTAAGAGTAAGGTATTTTGTATTTGTTTTCCACCTAATCAATCAATGACTAAGAGTCATTTGATTAAGAGTGGCTTGCTGCCACATTTTTTAGTTTAGTCAAAACTCCAATTACGCCACCACTTAATTATTAATTAATTAGATAATGTCACATTTTTCAATAATAACCAATTACCCATATAATTAAGAATTATTTCCATTTACTTAAAATACTTCTCACTTTTCACATACCTTATACACCTTACTATCATGGTCATGTGATACCTTTTATGGCACTAGTTCATAAATATCGAGTATTTTAGCTCGGGCCGTATTTTATCCCAACATGCCAAACTTGGACGAAAATTCACTTTAGTTGACTTGCTTCCCCTCTCACTTTCATGAATTTACTCATCATTTGTTTGAAATAGCATAATGCTTATAATCTCAAAATAATCTCATTTCTGAACTTTCGTCGATTAACTTACGACGAAACTTTAACATACGAAAATACGGGATGTAACATCATTCCCCTCTTTGGAACATTCGTCCTCGAATGTTGATTGATGCACTTATCATTTTCATAGCTTGTCTTCCGAATACTTCATTACTCTCTTTGCCATCTAGGCAACTGTTTTGTGATTAAATCTAAAGGTCAGGGCATTCCATCTTTTAGGCCTCTTTCCCACACCATGGCTTGTGATCGGAATCCTTCCAATCTCGTAACTGTGGTTACCTTCTATCATGCAGCCGGTACGATTCTGACCTTGCAAGTGCGCTTATGCGTCTCTTTTTTCCTTTTTCCTCCGATTTGTTTTAGCCATTACTGAAGTTCTTCGCTCGGTATTTTGTCGAACTTACGAATATTGCTATATCTTATTTCATAGACCTGGTTATCCTTTCGTATGACTTTACTGCATCTATGTAGGTCATACTATACCATAACTCTTACTTCGATTTATCGTTACTAATGTCTGCAACCAACTCTAGGTTACTTTCGTTGCTTATCCTTAAGACTGGTGGTCTAATCTCATCTCATACTGTTGAACTTTTATCCATCCATTGTTAATTCACCTCAATATTAATCTACAATATACCACTGATAACTTGAAACTTCTTACGTCATACCTTGCCACTAGAGTTTACTTTGCATCGAGGAATATTTGAAGTGATTTTCCTGATCCACTTAGGGGTGATATTGTACTTCAATGACCGTATTTTATAGCATCCCAATGCGATTCATTTACGTGGGTATTTTAATCTTGTACACTCCATGGAATCCTCTTCAAATCATTACTCAATCGAAGGCCTAAACGTCATCATTTATCCAACACAATTACACCTTCATTGTACTATCAGGGCAGTATTCCATCTCTTTTAAATGCTACTGGTCTTAGACTCATTTGAGTTCATTAAGGCTATACTGAGCTTTCTATAACTTAGAGAAACCATCAGCTCTTCATGTTTTCATGGGTTTAATCCTGAGGACTTATCTATTCTTGTCACCTTCTCACCCGCTATTTCTTATCCTTACTCCGTCTTCCTACAACCTTGTCGCTCTACCATACTTTTAGCTTGCGACCCATACATATCCATTTATACTACTCGCAGCCTTCCTTCAACTTCTTTGCACCATAGACTTCCTTGTTTTATTCTGGAATATCAAGCGAGATATCACCTCGTCTCTAACTCTTCTTTATTTTCTTAAATAGACCTCTCAGTACCTAAAAATAATAGGCTGGAAGATATGCCACTGACGACGCTGCTATCATTCCTGGATACTGAATCCCAACACTTCTAGTCTTTTACCTAAAGTATGGACCACTCACATCCTTCTACACTTGAGTATTTCGTACATTGTTCACCTTTACCTTACTACCTTAAAATTTTGCATCGTATCTTCTATCTCTTTCATGACCTCCCTTCCACATAGGTATAATTTACCTCCACAACCTGAAGCTTTATTATAATACTTGCACTTCTGGTGCATACACAAGTCGGTGGGAGCTCCATACTAAATTCTTATGAGGTTGGTATTTTCCTAACTGGCTTTATCGTAGAGCCGTTATAGAATATGATTGTTGTACTATCTCTCTTGCACCTCTGATATTAAGAGTGATTCTGCTATGTTCTCAATCATGACTCCTATAACTTCTGGGTCCAATAATCAGATTCCCGATTTACCTCATCGATGTAACTCTTTAGTTTCCTCCTTCTTCTGATCGGCCTTTATGTAGGCTTAAGTTGTCTCCCGATCTGCGATTCATGGTATTAGTTATTCTGTTTATCCTTTCATGGGCGCTGAGGAATATTCATGATACAATACTTTAACAATTTAATCCTTTGTCTATGACCTGGGCTCAATTCTTTCTTTTAACGTATACCAAAATCTTCTACGGCTGTATATGTTGTATGTATAAAACTCCAAACTCTTAAGTGCGTCCATAACATAACTAACCCTGGATCATTAATCGAATAAATCTTTTTGTTCCATCTCAGCTTTCTTCAAACGTAAGCAATTACTTTTCCTGGTCTTTTTGCCCCCTTTTTGCGTGCATACTTAACTTATCTTAGTGCCCACGCATATTGAAATTCCATACAACTCATATGACCTTGAATATCACTACTGATTTTACTTTTCGTTCATTAGCCATGGTAGGTTCCATTTTCTTATGGAGTGCATACAATGTTGTTGTGAGTTTTTTTTTTTTTTTTTACAAGACTATTTCTTCTTCAAGTTACTATGCTTAGGTTGGAGTCTTCTGCTTTATTTCCTTAACTAGTCTTCCATTGTAGTACTTAGGGAGGACCACCTGATTCTTGCAAGGCTGCAAGCTTATTACCTTGTTTACCCGACGGAATTTTTGATGTCCTTCCTCGCCTATAATTATCTATAGTTACTTACCTCCACGCCCTTGTGCTTGTAGGTTTGCCTTTAAACTTGATATTTTTACTGTCTTCCCAGCGGCATTCTCTTTTATTTCTGTAATACTCATACGGTACCTTTTTAACTCCCCCATATGAATAGAATATATCTCGAGTATTATAATGTCATAACTACGAGGCTGAATCCCCCCTTTAGGGAAGTACTAGGATTTAGCGCTACGATGATCTATGTATAGATGTTTTACCTCATTGTCATCTTTTCACATTATCTACGACTCTTACCCGCCTTGCGGTAATTCTTCTGCACTAAGGACAACAAAATTCCTTACCCACGAGGGTGACACTTAATGTAACTGGCACACTTAGTCCTTTAAGCTTAACTTTGCTCACATTGCTTCCTTTTAGGAAATCTTCCTCCTGAATGACCTTTCTCTGAATTCCTCATGAATATTCTTCTGTTGTCCATTCTTTTATCTCCGGAACTAAATCTAAAATTCTCATGATGCCGACTATTATCAAATCACCCAGTCCCTAATTCATGTTTAGTTTATCTTTTTCACCAATCCATACTGGTTTCTATTACTTTGGGGTCTAACTTTTCCTTCGGTTAATCACGTTAGAGTCGCGAACTTATTTCTCGAAATGAGGATGTGATTGTATAGCCTATACTCTCTTGTTGTCTTAAGGACCATCACCTCCCGTCTCCTTTTTTCATTTGACTATAGATTTTGTAACACTCTACTGTTGCCATCCATGTATCACATCTCACTCATAATGCTTCATTATCCCTCTTCGTACTTCCCTGCTAATATTTCTATTTATTACTTTATCCTGAAAACTTTAACAAGACATTCTTTCACTTTTTACCTTCCCTTGCTCTATCTACTGGCTCTTCGGGCTGCCTAACATTCTCCCTCTACTAGGGACGGGAGCCATACTAAGGTAATATTTATCCCTTCAAGGTTTCCAGTTCCTATCTTTGCAGTACTCATATCTAGCTGTACTATTTTAGTGTGCACCATTTGGGTGTCTCACAAGGAGATCTATTAGCACATTTGAAATATCCTTCTGAAATGTCAACTAACGCAAACAATTTATCCACCATTTTAGCTCACTCTAACCCACTCAGATTGGTGTGGCTAATTATACATACCTTTGTTACTGTTGAAGGTAACTCAAAATGCTTATATCTCTCTCTTCCTGAATGGTAAATAAGGATAATCTTTATTAACTGGGTACCTCGTACCCTTCTTCACCTTGCTTCTTTTACTTGTTGCAACTCGTGTCTAACTTTCGATTCCGTTATTCCTTTTTACCGTAAGAGTGGATAAGTATTCTTTCCTAAAAGCTCCTTATCAAGAACCGTATACCTTTTAGTACACGCATGATCTGCTGAAGACCTCTCATTTACTCATCATAAGCAAGATGCAAAATCGAGTTACCTCTAACTCAATACTTCCACAGCTATATCTCTTATCGATCGTCTTTCTGAATGTAGGCATCGTCTTATTACGAATAGAAGTTCGGGATTTAAATTCTTATAAGTGAGCTCTACCACACGATCTAGAGTAAGAGGAAAGAGTGGCAGTCCTAAATGCCATGTAGCCTCCTGCTTATAAGTGTGGTACACAACACACTTATAAAATAAGACTCTACTAGACACGGCTTGTAGACTCCCTAGGATAAAACTGCTCTGATACCACTTTTGTCACGCCCCGAACCTGGGGGCGAGACAAACACCCGGTACCTTACTCAACCGAGTACTAACGTAATGTATCTTTCTTATTACATCATCATATACACGTGCCATACGGGGCTAATAGGCCAACATGATCATTTATAAACTCAAAACATAGGCCGACAAGTCCGTACAATCTTTCACGTACACGACATATGTCTACAAGCCTTTAAAAGTACATAAATGTCATAAAGGTCGGAACAGGGTCCCGCTATACTAATCAGTACATGTCCTAATCATACTAACCACATAAGCAACTTCGGAGCAAATGGAGCGCACCAACACCTTCCGCTGAGCTGATAGTCTACTTGGAGGACTCTCGACCTCTCTATCAGAACCTGCGGGCATGAAACGCAGCGTCCACACGCAAAAGAGACGTCAGTACGAATAATATACCGAGTATGTAAGGTACATAACAGACATGGAAGAATTATAGAGTAAATGACTCAACCTATAAGTCTGGATAAATCTGTAAATCATGAAATAATTATAGTGTCATGCATATGCGTATGAATGTTATATCGTGCATATGTACATGTTTCATAACATCATCAGGCCTCTGAGGGCATCCCATCATATCATCTCAGCCACTGTGGGCAAAATCATTAACGTATACCAGCTGATCGGGTGGTGGTGCGTATATAACGCTATTACCTTTTCCCATATCCCATATACATATAATATACGCGTATATAACGCCATTTGGTCATGTGTCAATGTACATGTATAAATGCATGAAATGCATAAGAAATACGTTAATAAGATTTCTCAAAATATCATAAAAATAATATGCCCGTCGGATAAACTTTATCAAATACGTATTTTTCTGAGACCCATGAACAAAAGCTATAATAATAATAATTAAGAGATAATAATATTTTTTTTCATATGGGAAAACCATTGTGTTAGTGTTGTTAAGCCTTGCTGCTCAAATATTTCAATGATAAGAGAATCAATAACAGAATATAAGCGAAGCAAGACGATACATGATGGTACATTCAACCTTTTCTCTACAACTTTAAAGGCTTTTACAATCATGTACACTTGCATACAGTCTAGCTTACTGGACTCTTTCCATTTCAGCGATAGATTGCTCAATTATGGCTTATATTTATATGTTATCTCTCTTTTTTCCTTGTGCTGTGACTAATTACTAATTCACATGGGGAATCAAGAATATAGACACCCCTAGTATTTTTATAAATGGAGTTATTTATGAAAGTTGTGTATTTGCTCGTTTCGCTTGTGTCGTATAGATCATGCCAAAAAGAAAGAAGGGATAGCCTTAACATACCTGGAGTGGGTAAAAAATCCGTATGATATTCTTGGAAAAGGTTGCACCATGCACCGTACTCCTTTAGAATCACAAAATCCCACGTTGCTACTGTACTAAGAAATCTTATTGTTTGAAGAAATCACGTTGTAGCGTTAGAAGTGAAGAAATCATGTCTGGTTGTAGTGCTTTTTGTAGGAATTTGTAGGAAATTAATAAGAAATCACGTTGGCTAAGGTGCAAAGGTTCACGTCTGTTTGTGTTGTAGTGAAAGTCTTAAGTGTTGTGTTGAAAGTCTTAAATTTGAAGATGTTAGAGATGATTAATCAACAATGACTAAGAGTAAGGTATTTTGTATTTGTTTGCCACCTAATCAATCAATGACTAAGAGTCATTTGATTAAGAGTGGCTTGCTGCCACGTTTTTGAGTTTAGTCAAAACTCCAATTACTCCGCCCCTTAATTATTAATTAACTAGGTAATGTCTTATTTCCCAATAATAACCAATTACCCATATAATTAAGAATTATTTCCATTTACTTAAAATACTTCTCACTTTTCACATACCTTATACACCTTACTATCATGGTCATGTGGTACCTTATATGACACTAGTCCATAAATACCGAGTATTTTAGCTCGGCCGTATTTTATCCCAACATGCCAAACTTGGACGAAAATTCACTTTCTTTGACTTGCTTCCCCTCTCACTTTCACGAATTTACTCATCACTTGTTTGAAATAGCATAATGCTTATAATCTCAAAATAATCTCATTCCCGAACTTTCGTCGATTAACTTTCGACGAAACTTTAAAATACGAAAATACGTGATGTAACAAAATCAAAAGGAGAAAAACCGAACCATACCGAATTTAATTAGGTACGGTATTGGTATAGCATTTTAAGAAATCAAGTATCGAAAATATCGAACCGAAATATCTAAAGGCCGTACCGTATCGACCGACGAACACCCCTACTAGCACAGTTCTTCACCCACCTTAGGGTGTTGGGTGTGACCTTCTACTTCATTTTATTTTTCATTTTTCCTGTAAAATTATTCTTTTTATTTTTAATAGGTATATCATTTTGAGATTTAATTGAATTCTCTTATATTTTTAGTCATCTTGGCACTATTGTTGAAAATTAAAAGGAGTAATTTAGTAATCTCTAGAGTTTTGCTCCATCTAGAAGAAAAACCGTAGTACTTTCACATTGTTTGACCGAAAAATTAATAGTAACAAAGTTACGCATATTGAAATTTCTCGCGCTATGACAGAAATGAGCACACAAAAATGAGGATAGATGAACAATTGTGCATGAATAAAATGATAGAGATGTCGCCGCTAGTTTGATGAATGACATTGTGGATTTCAAACATTATACAACCTGCTATTTTCACAGCAAAATTAAGTATGATCATGGTGCTGTCTGATTTTTCTAAGATTGCTTCTCTTGACCTTAAGCCGTCACTCACTAAGTGGCTTAAAGTTTAGAAGCTGACAGTAGATTTACAAATACAGAGTTTTATACAACAAAGCTTATGCTAGAATTGCTAGAATGGCGCTATGGAAGGGTATGACCAGCACCATTTGAATCTGCATTAACATCTTCCACTAGATACATATCAAAGTAATCACTGCCATGAGAAGTGGCACATTCCCAAACACAGCATCTCATTTCAAAGGTCCTTTCTCATGCTCCTTATGTGAAACCTTTCAGTTTGAGGAACTATTAGTCTTCCCACCAATGTTGATTGAAAGAGAACAGCAGAATCTACTGCAGGCCAATGGTTTGTGTCTACTGTATGCATAACCACGTCTCATCAACATGCAATAAAGACAATTTTCCCCTCTAACTCATGCCAAGGATTGCTTGAGAAGCACAAACTTTTCAGCCTCCTCAATGCGACCAACATGATGCAGAAGGTTAATAATGCTAGTATAATGGTCTTCAGATGCCTTTATCTTATATTTTCGTGTCATCATAGTGAAGAATTGACATCCCTCATCAGCAAATCCAGCTTGCTCACAAATAGAGAAAACAACTTTAAAAGTAAAATGGTTTGGGTTAAACCCCTTCAATATCATCTGCTTAAACACGCTTATTGCTTCTCCATATTGGCCATTCAATCCATAAGCTTCAATAATAGCAGTCCAAGTCATAGATCCTTTGACAGCTATTGCATAAAAGGAAATCCTCGATTTATCAATTGCACCACAACCCCCATACATCTTCACAAGTTCTGCAGAAACAAAAGGTACAGATGCTATATCTTTCTTCAGAATTTGACCATGTACTTCTCTCCCAAGTTTCAAAAGTCTTAATTTTCCACAAACACTTAAAACCCTTCCCATTGCAACAGAGTCTGCCCGGTGCTTTGACAACTGCATTGACCGAAAAACAGCAAGTGCTTCCTCCAGACACCCAGAGTCAATATATGAATCCATCATGGCTGTCCATGATATAACATTCCTCTTCTCCATGCTCGCAAAAACTCTAGATGAATATTGAAGCAAACCACACTTTGAGTACATCATCATTAGGGAAGTAGCTACAGATGCATTAGGCAAAAAACCATTTTTCACTGCATAAGCATGAATCTCTTTCCCTTGCTTTAATACTTTCAGTTTCCCACAAACAGGGAGGACGGTGGCGACAGTTACAAGATCAGGCTTAAAACCTTCTTGTTGCATCCACACAACTGATCTCAACGCCTGCTCGAGTCTCCCGTTTAAGATGTAACCCGAGATTAGAGCAGTCCAAGAAATTGCATTCCTCTCTTTTGACCCATAAAAAACCTTTCTTCCTGATACTATATCTCCGCACTTGGAATACATATCAACTAAGGCAGATTGAATGAACAACTGCTTAGAGTATTCCTTTGTCTTGATCACATAAGCATGTACCTCTTGGCCAAGTTTTCTTGCCCATACTTCTCCAATAACCGGAAGAATAGTTGTTAGAATAACAGAATTCACCTCTAGCCCTTCCTTTATCATCGATCTTGTATACTCCAATGCCTCCCTTTGCAGCCTATTATGAGCAAAACCAGCTATCATCGCACCCCACATAACTACATCCCTCTCCTCAACCTCCTCAAACATGCGATGAGCAAGCCTAACCTTGCCACACTTGAAATACATGTCAATCAAACTAGTCCTAATTATGTCACTTCCTAAAAAACCATTCTTGATCAAAATTCCATGAGTTTTCAAACCTTGAAAAAGCGCACTAGCACCAGCAAAACTCTTGATCAAACAAGAGAAACTATACACATTCAACTCCACTCCCGATACCCGCATATCCGAAAATGTACCCAGGACATCACGATACTTACGTCCACCCAATACCACATTGCCCCTAAGCAATGCATTCCACGGGTACACACTTCTAACAGGCATTTCATCAAACACCTTTTTCGCATCTTCAACACACCCACAAGCTGTATACATGTGGACAATCTTAGTTTGTAGAAACTCATTATTTCCGAGGCCATTAATTCTTATATGGGTATGCACAATTTTAGCAGCACTTAAGGATTTCAAACGAACACAAGCAGCTATAAGTGAAGCAAATGTGGTGGGATTTACGGGAATACCACGATGGTCTAAATAGTCAAGAATGGTAAGTGCTTCTTTGAGCTTGTTTTGGTGGGCAAATCTTTGAATGTCTTTGTAAATGGCATGTGGGTTCTTTGTGTGGACTGATAATAAGTTGGGCAAATTGCTGTGTTTTGGGTATTTGTTGGGCAAATGTTGTTCTTTTAAGTGACGAGAGAATCGTAGATTGTTTACATTATTTGTACGAAAAGAGCGAGGGTCTTGGGAATTTGGAGGATGTTTTAGGTTGGTTTTTGAGGGGAGCGGAATAAGGTTGCAGCTGGTCATCGATTCAGTGAACAGAGTGAATTCAGTTGGTCGTTTGGAACTGAAGATAAGATTTTTCCAATTTATAGTGGCTAAAATAAAATAAATACCTGAATGTTTTTGGCGCTAGTGGTACATACAAAATTGCAAATGCTACTATCCGACGCCAGGTAACCGCATTATGCTTGTACCATTTAGCCTTCAATGCTTTCTAGCTGATCAATTCTTTTTACACGAAATAACAATCGAACTATTTCTTTATGTCAGCTTTGTTAATTGCATTATTCAACTAAATACATTTTTTCTTCAGTTAATTTAAACATACAGATTTGGCTCCTGAATCTAACGGAACTAAAATACTATACTGGAATCATTTTTTAGAAGTGAGAATTTAAAAAGAAAAACATTAAAGTTGTAGGGGTGGAGCTACGATCTCCAAATAATTTGGATAGATAGCAACGTAGGCGCGAGTTCGGGACTTTGTAGAGTAAGCGAAAACAAATACTAGTACATTATAATGGCACTCACGTCTATGCTTGAAAAAAGAGGAGATATTGATACACAGCAAATTGATGGATTTGTTCAGACAATACCAGTGTTACAAATAGTGCCCTTTAACCTCAAACTATGAAGCTGTAGGTACCAAGAAAAACAATTAAAAATGAGAAGTCAAACATATGGAAATTTCTCACATGCCGAAGAGAGTTAAGAGGAGAAGAAAAGGAAAAAGAAAAAGAAAAAGAAAAAAAACTAAAATAAACGAAATTTGCTAGAGCTCTTGTTGGTTGCATCTAAACAGTTCCAAAGAACTGCTCCAATGATGTTGAGTTGAACACATTGATTGCTGTTCTTTCTGGCTTGGTAGCTGAAACGTGTAGCTGATATTTGATGAATCTCTGCAACCAGTAAAGAATTAAACATCATTAGGTATAATAAAACAGAAGATACATTGGATCACAAACGCGCTTTGTAAAGAAGCAAGACAAGTAACTTCGTACACGAATGTGGCATTCACATTGTCACAAAATAGTTTGTAAGCCGTCGAGACGGAAAATATCAATATGTTTTAACTCTAAGCAGCTTATCTGCCCCACCAATGTATTAGCAATGGTACCATGGAACGCTGTAAGACTAAACAAATTGCTTCTGCTCCACCAACACCAGCTTTATTTTTAATACATCCAAAATAAAACCATGTTTCTCCCAACTAACCTAAAATATTGATTATGGATGCATGCCTTACACATGCACACTTCATATCAATGATCTTAAATGTATAAAAGTGCCATTATTTGCATAAGAAGTTTCGGGTAGTAGGTAAGGGGAAGAAAATGGAAAATTGAGTCTTCAAATATTTCACGTTGAGGAACCAATCTTAACATTTCTGTCTGCGCACACATGCTGGTCAGCATGCACTCCCGTAAATGAAGATACTCAAATGCAAAAACCACTACTCTATCCCTCTCATCTAGTCCCAATATCTCCTTCATTATGGTCTCCTCATTTACGATGAGCAACAACTATCACTTTAATCTCAAACTAGATAGGATCGACTATACAAATCCTCTACATTCATTCCATTCTTTTTTTATAACCGTGGTGTCCGAGCCAACTTGTGCACACCTCGACTAATTCCATGGGATACCTGTCGTCTCTACCATTAACAGATACCAGGTAACTCTAACCACCAAGGCTTGGACAAATGGGAAGAAATCACCTAGTGTTTTTTGCCTCCGCTGGGATTTGGACCTGAGACTTCTCACCCACTGAACTGACCACTAGGCCATACCCTTGGGTGCCTATATTCATTTCATTCTAGTTGGACCATTCATCCAATACTCAATAATTATCTTCCAAGAAATATTAGAGGTTCTCTAAATCTTACACTTATCCTTGCATTGACATTTTATTTGATCTCAAATTAGTAGGATCGGCTATAGATCCCTGCATCCATTCCATAACATTTGAACTATTTCATTCTGGTACTCAATAATTATCCATTAAAACAAATTAGAGGTTCTTAAAAAAAGAGATTCTCGAAATTTTATACTTATCCCGCACTGACATATTTCATTTACAACCAGCATGGTGCACAAATTATAGCTAATGGATAACCTCTGCAATTGCAATATGAATTGAATCCAAATTGCTAGCAAACTGCGTCTTTAACAGAAGGTATGGAAGGATAAGGAAAATTTAAAGATTAATTTGAGCAATAGTAGAAAGAGATTGCAAAAATTAATTAGAGCAGTAGTAGAATAGTAGAAAGAGATTGCAAAATTAATTAGAGCAGTAGTAGAATGATACCATTACAAACAGAGAAGCGGAGAAGAAGAAACACATAACAGATCAATGGTTGGATTTATCATCTGAACTATTTACACTTTTCAGCTGATTAATTACTTTTATTGAAAGAACAAACAATTAACATGATGATGAGCTCATTGATCAAGTTCTTAGTCAAAGGAAATGAAGAGTACCGCTAGCTGAAAAGTGATTTCCGGATTTGTATCTATGTGCCAATCAGGTTCTAGTTGTCGAACAAAGGATGTGCGTCCAATCTCAGTGCTACAAAATAGAACCTGCATTTCCAGTCTTATCAGTAACATACGATGCATAAAACTAGACAAAAAAATTATGAGGACAAAAATAAGTCTACTTTGACCAAGAACTTGATGGACATCAATTAGAAGATACAACAACAACAACCCAGTAAAATTCCACTGTCTGGGGAGGGTGGTGTGTACGCAGACCTTACCCCTACCCCAAAGGAGCAGAGAGGCTGTTTCCGAAAGACCCTCGGCTATCAATTAGAAGATAGAGATTTGTAAAATGGAAAGCATCACAGGAAATCAGAATTTCCCTCGCAATCTACATTTTTCAAATGGAAAAAAGAAATCTTTTTTGAAATGGAATTTCCCTCGCAATTTACATTCTTGATGTGACATCCTGCCGACTTACTTTTGCACCTCTTCACATTTCAAACCAATATCTTTAACTCTTCTATGTCAAACTTGACATGATAATCAATTAGAACATTTATTCTTAATCTGCATCACACTAGGTCATTACTGGGGAGATGAAGGGCAGTTCAACAGGAAAAAAAAAAAAAATCACTGAAGGTAGTCTATACAGAAGTTAAAAAAAAAGGGTAGTCTATACAAAAGCCAACTTGACATGGAACTAAAACAAACAGTAGAAGGCACAAACAGAGGCACTAGCTGTGAATGAAGACTGATAGACGTGAAGGCACTTAGCTCTCCCCTTCCCCCCACCAAAAAAAAACAAAAAGAAAAAAGGCAAAATCTGAGCTTCTTTTAACTATTAATATGGTGAAAATTGTGAGACTTCCTTTTCTTTTGCTTCCTCCTAGCTGCAAACCAACATATTCACATGAGTAATGGTATGTACCTGCCAACTAAGGATGTCCAATGAACTCTGTTGACAATCATTTATTAGGTTATGGCGCCTTAACTTTTGCGTTAGAAGTTACTATGGCATCTGAGCCAATAGCCATCAATTACTATTCAGATGATTCAATTTGCAAATATTCAATCCTCACTCACACATAGACGGACACATTTTCTTCTTAGTAATCAATTCTACATATTCCCTTGCATTTAAAATGTAGTATCTGCAAACTCGGTGGATAATGGACCCATCCATCTATCCATCTCCACTTAAATACCTGCCATATGTCTACAGTAGGTTTTGAACTCGTGACCTACACCTAACCCACACATCATACGCTGCGCTCGTATCACTAGACCAAAGCCCTATGGGCCATCTGGAGTGTATTTCAATTTCATGTTAATTCATATTCTTCTTGCACTTACTCTGTAAAGTTTAACTCACACTAGTCCACTAAAAAGTTTTAAGAGAAACACCACATAAGTTGAATGTGACTTACCATCATCAACATTTTTTAAGAGAATTCATTTATATTCATGGGATTCTGTTATTCTTTCTTTCTTTTTGTTTTCATTTTTCATTTTTTTGGGTGGATCATAAAGGGATTTCATCATTCTTGGATTTCAGGTAACATGTCTGCCTAGCTAGAAAAAGATCCCTCAGATGAAAAAGGAAAAGAGAACAGGAAAAATAGATTGCGACCAGCCAAACAAAACTGGAAAAAAGTTCACCTATCCACACCATAGATGAAACTTCGATGAGCTCAGGTTATTAGAGAAAGAACATACATTAACAAGCAACTATGCATCCCTAAATGTGCAGCAAACAGTTGGAAAAGGGAACAAGTCGATCTTTTCTCGTAAGAGAAACCGAAAGGTTAACAATGTATCAACACGGTTTGCTTCTTCTTACAGATGGTTAAAAGCTATTTAGCTGCTACCTTGTCTTTGACCAGGCCGCCAGATGTAAATACTCCAGCATTCTCTAAAGCTAGGAGGACTTTTCTCTGCACATATAAGCTCATACCATGAATATGTATAGAAATAAACAATGTAAATGTTGATAGACATGCAGATTCATCATACACAGCATTTACACATTCTGAAATAATGCCCACATGTTTAAGAATTTGTGGCTGCTAAAAATGACAAGGTGGCTAGCAAGCATAGTGCAAGATATACAACCCAACATGAATTTAAGCTTTTGCTCGAGGAAATCCTAAAAAGGGAACATAAATCTTAAAATTCTAGTTTGAGGATTCATGCAAGTTCAACAAAGCAAAATACTGAAAGTCACAACGTACTGTACCTGCTAATTGGAAAAACTTAAGTTGTGCATCCCCACATTAGAGTTTGAGTTCTGGTTCTCCTTTTAGGATTTCTCTAAGTCTCACTCTTAAGAATTTGGTCCATGTTTTTGTAAGGTTTTCTACTTTTTGGGTATACTTATTGTATACGGGCTTGTTTTCGCCCTTATTAATGAACTTTATTACCTTATCAAAAATAAAAATAAAAAATTGGTCCATGTTCCAAACTCCGAGCAGACATAGAAAAGTTGCATGACCAGGAATTTGCAAATGAGAAATCCCAAAAGGAAAGCCAAATACAATGCCATCTCAGAATCAATTGGCTCTGACTCAAATCTTGCACGGTGCTTCATGGTAGGCACTTAGGCAAGAACAAAATGGTCTCGAGTTTGAGCTCTAGAAAAGAAATTTATGAAAATTAACAAAGACCAATAAGTGAAGTCTTTGCCACTATAAAGGCACGGCAGGATGATTCTAGGTTGATCTATACCATTGTCGAACTGTAGTCTTTTTTATCTTGCTGAAAGAAACTAATTGCATCTCTTCAGATTTTCAATTTAGGATGACTTTAGAGAGCTAATTTGTTCTGTGCAGAAAGCTAATGAATCATGCCCACAAAAGTTGGTATCCCCCCCAACCCATTTCTTCTGAAAAAAGGACATAAAATGGCATCTCTAATCTCTCCATAATATTATTCGCTCTGAAACAGGCAACCAGGATATAATAAGGGTTTGCATCAGTGACAATCAGAAATTAACAAATATAATATATAGAGTGAGCACTTACTTCACTTTCATCATCAAGAACTCTTTCCATGAGATAAAGGTCACAAAATTTGGTGATTTCGAGTAACACTTCGAGCACAGAGGATCGTACAGTAGCTTGTTGCTGTCAAGACAAAGTATAAACAACGTCAACAGCATCTATACACCGGTCCATAATCAATACCTGAAATAATAATTACCTGAAGCTCCTCTGGGTTAGTTTCCTCCAAGATCACTCCAAGCAACCTACATGTCACCTGTAATTAAAAACCATATCCAAATCACGTGTCTTATTGGTGCTGCCATCTAGAAAGCCATTAGAATCCACCATTACCAAACAAATTATTAAGAAAGATTCTTATCTACTTAAGCCTGAAGAGAACTCCTGGATTGATTCTTTCTCCAAAAATTAGGTCGCATAATATATGGTTCTCTTCAAATTGAGGTACAGACCAATCCTACCACATACTTCAAGATGTAACAGGAGCAGATTCGCTAATTATATAAGCATTCTTATCAATGTACCTATAAGGGTACAAAAAGATAAAGGATGACACAGAACAGTCCATAACCCTTCCCCCAACTTCCAAGAATCTGGGTTGTCATGGGGGAAAAACTTTAATTAATTCGGCAATTCAACAACATTTCAGAATTCCGCTACTACAGCCTTGAAGACTCCTGTTAAACATTAAGTCCCACCGGACTTCCTCTCCTTGGAACCTCAGAGACTGTTGGAATGTCATCTCCTCCTGGCATAAATTTTACAGATGCTCGAAAGCGAAGTCTCCGAATTTTTCCAGCATCACATGTGTCCCCAAAAATTGACCGTGCTCCCTTCCTCTACCTTGAGAGTGGTGTCACCTCTAAGTTCTTCCCACCCGTTCGAAATGTTTCTCTACAGGCCGCACCCGAAAGGGTGTGTGATGTTTTTAGTCCTCTAGCCGTTCCCCCTCCACAATCCCATATTTCTTTGCTATTATTTTAGAATGTGCTCCTCAATCCCGACTATCTCTTTAATCAATATTATGTATGTTACATAAAAAATCTGTCATCACCAATCCATCATAAGCAAGCAAAACCTGGATTTCCAATAGATTAATGTATTCTCACCTGTATGCTAGCTGAAAGGGCTGGATGCATTAAATAATTTCGAATACATTTTTCTATTTATTTGCGGATACAAAAGAAGGAATGCAATATGAGGTACTCAATCCAATCACTTAATACATAACAATAGAAGAAATGAAGAAATATACCTTCCTCCCTTCACTCAACCTTTGCCTAACTATCTGCCCAAGTGTTGGCTGCAAAAAGACTAGGAAAAGTCAGTTATACACCAATTACAATTGGTTAATACTGCGGCATTGTGGAGAACAGTTGCTATCTACCTTTACTGGCTGAAAGAACTCATCAATAACATTTTGAGCATCTGAATCCTCAGAAGAAGGGGTAACTCCTGAAGTTGCTACATTTGCACTTGAATGATTTCTTACACCAGAACTACTAGACGTAGCAGCTTGTCGCTTTGGAAACCTCCTTTGTGGTCCACTAGGTGATCTCCACAGTCTCCAGGTGAAAACTACTGCAAATGCAAGACCTGCTATAGCCCCTACGGATCTTGAATCCTGCATTTACCAAATAGCTCTTACCATCATATTACAGAAAAAAGCAGTACAACATTTTGATAGATCCTTCATGTGATGAAGGAACAGACCAACCTATTCAAAATGCTAGGAGAAGAGTATATTAAATGTTATACAGCAACTTATATCCAGAAAGTCTTTATTTGCAAAAAATTAGGGAAATAACAGATTATTGGATTGTGGAGAACACAAATTGCTAAGTTAACACCCACAGCCTTCCCCAGCTCTGCAAGTGGTGTGAATGATTTGGCCACCCACACTTTAGAAGTGTTGCCTTTCTGCATCCTATGTTACATGCACTGCCTTCGAGAATGCTGCAAGATGTATGAACGATTTGGCGAGTCACACTTTAAAAAGTGTAGCTTAGAGTTAAAACTCTTCATGCCATTTGATTTGTAACTTGCTTAATTGACCCTTCAATATCTATCATTTTTATTTCATTTAATGATGATGTTCAATCTGAGAATTGCAAAAGAATGCACTTAACAGGGAAACCACGACCCAAAAGAAAAAGGACAATTGAAACGGTCCAGGAAAAAAGAAACTCTGGAAAGATAAATAGGGGGCTATCCACATTGGCCCAAACCAAAATTTCATAATATTATTGCAGAACTGAAGTTCTATACTTTTGCAATTGAAAATTGAAAATAAAATTCAATTGAGCATACTAGAGAGTCCTCGTTGAGTGGCATCATTCTCTTGGTTACCTCAGGATATGGTAATTAAATAGATAACGGAAACAAGAAGTTATTTGCAATCTGATGAACAAACAAAGCTACAATAAGTGTCATAGTAAAGAAAATAGTTGGTAATCATAACTTCACCCAATCTCTTAATCTGTGAGACTAAAACCAGAAACCAGCAATGTTATCGGATAAGCCCGTGTTTCTCCGTTTTTTCTTTTCCTCCTTTTTTTATAACCGGGAAATTCCCAAGGGCCAGTGACACACGATTAGAAACCCGAGTCTCTCAACTTTTTCCCCTCACTTGTTTTTCTCCTCCACCCTCAGCTTCGGCAGCTTAAACTGCCTTTAGCAGCTACTAGAATCGTAATCTTTGCATCCAAATCAAGGTCATTGTGGAAGGTTAATTAAATTGCCAGAACGCAAGTAGCGGAGAGGTTATGCATAGGGATATAATGAGGTCATGAAGATAAAGAAAGAACGGATTTGGCATTTGAAAGAACTGCTTAAACATGAGAACGTGTGAAGATGAACAAGAAATAGTACTGTAGAGAACAACGTGAGACAAGAACTGGAAGAAGAGAAGACAATGGAAAGACCAATAGTTGGGGAGAAAAAAACACAAAATTAAAGAAAAACAAACACCCATCAAATAATGAAATGCATTTTATTTTTAAGAAAAAAATGGGAGAAACTCTATTGGAACTGTAAGTCTGTAACCAGAAATCACAACTTAGCAGTAAGAATAGAAAGCAATATTAGTATCAAGAACAAGGAGCAACTTTTCACTAGACAAGCTTAATCAATTTAGAAACTTGGGGACTACATTTAACCAAGATTTTTTCTTTTGTTAACTAGAAATCACCACAGGCCACTAGCGTACGGTATGAAATAATGAGCCTGCTCCTCTACCCTTCTCCGCTTAACTACCAACCCTTTGGCTCCTAAACTCAATGAACAGGTCGCTTTCCAAATCTACATCAGTCTAAGCTTGAAATGACAAACGACCTTATCGCAATTATATAGTAACTTAATATTACTCCTATAACATTTGAGCTACTATTGTTAGAGATATTTGATCATAATCATCTCTTCATCACTTCAAAATTAACCCTTCGTAATCTGAATTCCCCAATTCAAGCGTCTATTAACTCATAGAATAAGACAGGCACTCCTCACGTTGGTCGTACATACTAAGTAGTACTTCTCATCCAAAAGAGACAAAACTACCTTAAGCAAAACAGAACTTCAGTGACCTAACTAGCACACTCCAGATAGAATTTCTAAAATTTATAGAAATCGAAGATAAATAACTGGATTTCAAGCATATTAAAACCTTACTTTTTATCAATTAAAATTATTCAATGCTTAATTCACAAGCAAAACATATTAAAATTGGAGAGAGAGAAAGAGAAAGAGGAAGAACCAGAGAGTGGAGGAGATTAGAAATCTTGACGGTCAAGAAAGCGCCGAATCGCTTGATGAGCTGAAGGAAATCGTCTTTATCAGCCATGTTATTTTGTACTAGTAATTATTACTATATCAATTCAGCAAATTTGGTTCTTCGTCGTCGTCGGGTTGAGCTTTCCGATGATAGATAAATCAAGCTTTCAGCTTTTCCGGTGGTCTCCACCGTGACTTAATAGTCCAAGTTTTTGATCGAAATAAAGAGAAAAACGGTGAATATGAAATTTCCAGGTAAAATAAAAAGAAAAAAAACACAACCTTCGAGGAGAATGGGGATAGCATATTCTCCTTTTTAGTTTCTTTTTATTTTTCTGGCAATTAAAGAAAAATTGATAAGTATGAATTAAAACATAGGTAGTATCTTATTTTCTTGAAATAAATGAGTCACTATTTTATTTAGTATTTGAAGTTGAGCAAATTTTTTAATCAAATAGTATTACTTTGTGTCTAGGAAAGGAGTTTTATTTTTATCCGTGCCCCTTAATAAAGTTTCAGTTTAAAGTTTAAATCATAGTTAAAAGTTGAAAATAAGTTTGAACTTTTTTCTAGAAATTTCTGGATTTATGGAGTCCACTTATTTCATACAATAGCTATGTTAATTGCAAGGCAAAATTGGAGATGATTTACTAAGGATAACAACAATACGAATGAACCAAAAGTGTATTATAAAACAAAACTGAGCAATTTCGAATAGTATATAAGCAACTTGATCCTTTACTCTATTTTCATTTTGATAACAATTAAGTAATTGATAAAGTACCTTCTTATATACTCTTAACTCTACATTATACGGCACTATTACTATTTAAGAGGTATATTTTTAATACAATATTGTTCAAGTTAATTTGAGTGTACCTCAATTATTTTACTGTATATACTACTTTTTCACTTGAATAAATACAGAATAAGTGGACAAATATAATAACACCATTACTAAAATCAGCTACTTCAAAAAAAAGTAAACACAAAATAAGGCTGTTTGGCTAGTGTAGTCTCCTTTAGTTAATTAACCATAAAAAATATTGATAATTAAATCAAACAGGCCATTAACATATTGAACCTTAATCCTTGCAACTAATTAGTAACCAAGCTGTTAATTTGTAAACTCTTATTCAACTCTTGCAATTATTACCCCAATCTAACTAGTATTCGAACAATATATGTTTTTAACACAGATTAAATGAAAAACAAAACACAATGGTATGATCCTTTTTTTTTTTTTTTTGTGAACTTGTATGTGCGATGGTATAAATCACTAAATTGTGTTATGGTACAATAGGTTTGTCCTAATGCACAAAAACTCAAATCAGTAACAAGATAAGTTACACGGATATATGAAGGTTGAAACAAAAGCAGAGTTACATTGTCCGAAATGGGGTTGGATTGAATTTCGGGTGTGACATTCTTCCTTTTTTTCTGAACCATGTTAGAATTTCTTTAACTTCATCACAGATTCAAGTAGTCAATCTGGGATTTGGGATGGTGAAGAAATGTTAGTATCTTCAACTGAAATTTCAGTTGCATCATCAACATTAGTGCTACTAACTGAAACTGGCCTTTCAATCTTGAGGTTTGGTCCATTGCTCAACATTTCCTTCTCCAAATACTGGCAATAACTTTCGAAAACTCGCGAACTCACATTAACTCCAAAATCTAGCAAGAAAAGAAGTTCCAATTCTAGCCTGTTCAATTCTTCATTGGTTACTCCTCCAACCCGGGCATAGAATGCGTTGTTGTAGTGTCTGATGTACATTTCAACAATAAAGCTATCAGGAAATAATTAATAAGCTTTTCAATACTGACAGACTTTCCCTTTTTAGTTTGTCTAAAAAAGAATGATTAATTTTTATATTTAAAAGTATTTTAACTTTTTTAGGTTATAACTTTCAAAAGTCTTTCTTTATTTCTTAAACTTCATGTCCAGTCAAACAACATCACATAAAATAGGTCGGATGGAGTAAGCATCATTTTGCACTCTTAATCATAAGTTTACCTATTGTTTCTGAAAAGGAAGATCAAGCCCTCTTGTCACTCCACTTCCACACAGAGACACACTATATTTAAGATGTGCTATGCATATCTGTTACATTTCACTACCTAAAAAGACAACTAGTTACTGAGATTTTGATATAATTTACCTGGTTCTCCAATGTATTGCTGCCTCCACTAACACTACTCTAGGAAACATAAGTTAATAATTAAGTACTCTACTACTCTATTTTATTATTTGTATGGACATTAAATTCAAGATTTTAAAATAACTTGTATAAAAAATGCAAAAATAATGATTGCAAGGTAGGTTGCTATTGAACTATTACAATGAAGTTTAACGTCTAAATAATCTAATGAACATGAATTTTTGAAAGTTGCAAAATCGTACAAAATGAAAGGAAGTAAAAAATAACTTAAATCCAAATTAGAACGAATTCAATATTATAAATAGAAACTTGTTACATCATCAACATAAATTAAACCTTTTATAGTATATACTTAAACTACTTATTTTAAATTACCAATTAGCACGTTAAAGTGTCGTAACTGTGTAAATATATCTGACATTGAATATTTATTATTGAGAGGAAAGAACACTTACGCATCGTCGAGCATTTTGGAAGCAACCATGACACAGGTGACAAGCAGCCTATGAACATTGAGAGAAACGAGAAGAGAATCAGGATACTTATGCCCCAATCTGTCAATATACACATACCCAACCACAAAACAAGACGGGCTGCAATTCGTGTATTTGTATAACCTCTCCAAATACTTCGGTATACTTATACTCGGCGCTCTCACTCCGTGAAATGCGTTAAAGTTCTTTCCCAGTACCGGGCCGCCTTCGCCGCCGTTGCTGGTGAGTCCATTATCGTGGTGGTCGAGCATTAGCTGGTCATTTCGTGCCACCAGCTTTTCGAGAACGTAGGATAGGATGGTTAGCACCCTGGGAGTGGTTGTGTCGATGGCGGTGCTCGGCGGCTCTGGCCGGCGGTGGAACTCGTCGCTGCCGCCCTCGTCTAGCATCTAAACCGCGTACTGTTTCATGAGGAAATTTCATGACTGCGGCTTTGGTTGTTTAATTGGATAGAATTCGATCCCGCGTTATCTCGTTGAGTTGTTTTCCATCGTGGGGTGTTGGACACGTGTCACTGAATAAGACAATACTTAGGTTGTGTATCATTCATTAGTAAATGCACCACAAAATGAAAACAAAACTAGAAGATATACAAGTAGTCGTGGATATGGTTGTCATAGAATCTCGGGTTTCAGACTTGCAGTAACTTTTTTATTACAATTTCTCATTTAAGTTCTAATGTGGTAAAATTTATCCTCTAATATCCTCTTCTGGAGTTGACGATGATTAGAGAGAGAGAGAAGAAGATTAACCAAGTTGTACTTACAAAGAGCTTAAACTGAGACGTACTACATGCTGCTTAATCTAATTTACTATTTTCCTTTTAAATATATAAAACTAAAAGTTTCAAATACTTCACGAACGACAAACAAATAAAAGGCAGAGATTATAAGTAAGAGAATTGAGTATATTTAGTGGGCGTTTGGACATAAGAATTGTAAAATTCCAAAAAAAAAGTGAAAAAAAAATTTCACGTGAAAATGATATTTGAAAATTAGAGTTGTGTTTGGACATGAATATAATTTTGGGTTATTTTTGAAGTTTTGTGAGTAATCTGAGTAAAATTTTTGAAAAACAGGTTTTTGGAGTTTTTCAAAATTTCGAATTTCAAAATACATTTTCAAGTGAAAATTGAAAATTTTATGAACAAACGCTGATTTCGTAAAAATGTGAAAATTTTTTGAAAAAAAAGGAAAAACTTTCTTATGTCCAAACGGGCTCTTGATGAAGAGACCAACAAAGAAAATTTTACGAATAATTTTTCTAAACAAATTGTATGAAGCAAAACAGCCATTTCAATTCATGAGTTCAACTATGCTAAAAGAGGCCCTAGATCAAAAGTTTTTCCTTTAACCAGTAACCAGTAATGGGGTGGGTTCAACGATTTGTCTTATCTCAAATGTTTTCATTATCGTCTCCTTTGTTTTTACGTTTAGCTATTACACCATGTTGAAGTTTAATAACTATATCATGATGAAACTTATGTTGTCTCCCACCTCAAAATTGAAAGGGGCCGGGCCGTAATGATTAATTATTGTACAAGGGTATTTTGAGCTCTGAAATGAAATAATCTTAAGGTAGATGAGGAGTATTCGTTTACACTTTATAGAAATTGATATCCTTGTGAATACAAAACACTAATTAAAAGATTAGCATTGTAGAATTTTCGCAAGTTTGTTATTAGTATTCCTACAAAGACCAATTAGACTAAAAAGAAACTACAACAACATCATACAGTATAACCTCACATAATCATTGAGTAATTCCTACTTCATCGTGCACAAATTCAAGTTAGAGCGTAAGATAGATTTTGTGCAAGTGCTACGAGCCCTTGTCATTATTTGGCCTATTTGGGTATGGGATTGCCTGCTGTCATAAATGAACTTGTATGTTTGGTTTGTGATATTGATGGTTTTAGAGTTTTACTTTCTCTTTGAAAATCGATATATACGTGTATTACCTACAAGTGATGTCAGACTAAATACTTCACTATAGGAATACTATTTGCAACATTAAAAGAAAGGAAAATGCATAAGTACCCTACACCTATAGTCGGATTTCTAACTATACACTTAAATTTTATGGGGGTTCTATTATCCCCTAAACTATTTTAAAACGGAATAAATTTACCATTAAAATGTCACAACCACATCTATGTTGTGTGGTGGAGTACACACGCCTCAATTTTTGTTACCACTAAAATTTAAAAAAAATTCCAGTTTTGTTGCAATCTTTTCCTTTCTTTCTCTGTTCCTTCTCTCGCCTCCATTATCAACAACCCCAAAAATCACCATTATCATACCTGCTTCATCAGATACAATATCTTTACCTTCTCCATTTTTTTTTTTTTGACTTTCACCATTTTTATTTTTACCTTGTTAGAACTAAGGATTTACATATTGATTTTGATGATATCAAACCAACATAATGTCACGACCCAAATTCACGTAACCGGCACCCGGCACACTACTCGACCCGAGCGAACCATCCCATATGTCAAGACCAAGTATAATTGTGGAAGCCAATTAAAAATCTTATACATTTTCAAATCAAGTAACAACATAGTTTTCATTTCCAAAATCATACATGAAACTTTTCATAAAAAAAATAATAATAATCAAATTTAATGATTATTCCTTTATGCATGACGTCCACAATCCTAATTTTTACAATCCAACACAACTATCTATGGAGCCTCTAACAGAACCAACACTTGGAATAATTCCAACAAAGAAAATAAGAATATACATGATAGCTACCACGAAATAAAAGTCGTGCTTCATAATACCTCGGAAAGAGAGTCATCATATCCCTGACCGTATGCCACGTATCATATCTCATTCTGAAATATGTAAAGTAATTAGGACCCTGGAGGGGGCCCCTAAGGGTTGAGTACACCACATTGATACTCAATATGTGTAATAGACTCTCTCTAACTTAAGTTCTCGGGACAAACTTTATAAAAATAATGCACCAATATTTGATATAAAACGATAACAAATTTTATCAATTCATGACCCTTGTCATTTTAAATAACAACCAAGTGAAATATAACCCACAATATAAACTTTTAAAATATTTACATCAATCCAAGATTTTGGATAAAATCATACAAAATTATTCCGTTTGTTTTAAGTCATTGAAATCACTTTCGGCTTCTTAGGCCTAAACATCAGAAAATCATCCTTACCTTTTAGTGGGAGTACTATACCATCACCGACATAAGGAGGTCAGCTAGGTTATGTACCTAGCAGTAAGTATCATATACCCTACTTGCTTAGGTCGTCTCATCGTAGTGCCGTACGAATCGACTCAGCCATGCTAATAATAGCACAAAATAGTACTCTCTCGAGGGAGAGCACTCTGCCGTAGTCTATACCACAAAGTGACCATCTACGCCTATACCGGCATATGTAGTTTCATGACAACGAACACAATATATCCGAAGTCAATCTCGGTGAACACAAGTAACTCCCAAAACATTTGATACTTCAAAAATAGATTCATAGCATAGTAGCTTCAAAGGATCTATTTTTATCAACTCATAACATTTATATAAAATCTAAATCATTTGAACAAAAATTAAATAAACAACTTTTACATGCTAAATCCTTTAACAATTTAACATAATCTTTAAAAGATACCACAAGTGTTATTCTGTTCGTCAATTTCCAAAAGAAATATTTTTCATGAAAACTTATCTTTAACACTCAAATATGTATAATCTTGTCAATACATAAGTTTTGATAAAAACTTATAACATTTACCTTGAGTGTCATTTTGCCAACAAGGTTTAAAATAAAATTTTATAAAACGGCATGACACTACATATGCAATATAATATTCTAGTACATGGAGACATTCGTACTTGTTTGTCCCCACAAGCACGGAAGCACATTTGCAAACAACTTAAGTATTAACTTGAAACATGCTTTTAGAGAAAGTCCCTCAAGAAGAGTAAGTTTTAATCAACTTACCTCGCTTTCGCTTTATTAACTCCCATAAGCTTTCAATCATCTTCCATCATTCCGATATTAATTAAAATATTCAAACATCACCAACAAGTCGATATCTACAATTAGATATCCTAATTACATCAAAATATGACTTAAAATATTGATCAATATCCATATATGGCTCATAAGTTGGCTACAAGCCTCCAACAACCCAAATCGTCAAATAGATTTACAAGCTAGACCATTCAACTTCATTCTTATATTTTAATACCCATTCGAAATCATTAATGATACTACATCAATTGTCCAATGCCACCAAGTTACTATTCATCGCCTTTCATAATCAACACTTGCAAAATATACAATTCGGGTGATTACTTAGTTGATCACTTCCAAATTTTGCTAACAAATAACTCCATAGGTTCATTGTATTCATCAATTTTATCGCCAAGATTAATACTCATCTTCTCTCTTATTTTCTCAAAAGTACTATTCATGCCATAAACTAGAGTTTTATAATCCAATCTTTCAACCATTAAAACTTGTAACAAATGCTTCAAATGCTTCTAACTACTCATAATAAACGAGTTTGAAGCATTGAAATTACCTCTAGTAGATAAATCTTAAAAAATCACAACTTTGGCGATTTTAGCGTTCTTGAGGATTTGATGATGAAATCTAGCATTTGGATGCAAGAATGATGTTAGAACTTATGTATATTGAGTAAGAATCAACCCAAAATATTATTAACAACTTACCTTAGTTGGTTGAACTTGATTTGTGCTCAAAATCGCCCCTTCACCTTAAGAACCCTAACCCCCAAATACTCAAAATACTCTCCTCCCCCGACCTTGTATTTATAGGTCCAGATTTCTGGGTTTCGGACGCTGCCTCGGATGCTTCGCATCCCTAGTTCACTCCTCTTTGAAGCTCGGATGCGGACCTGGATGCTATGGCAGCACTTCACTGCCAGTCTTTCTTTCAGACGCGGCCCCGGATGCTTCGCATCCGCAGACTCCTCTGCCAGCCTTTGGTAATTTGGTCATAACTTCTTGTAGGAATGTCCAAATGACAAACAGTTTGAAGCATTAGAAACTGGACTCGAAG